CTGGTACTGGAGCCACTCTAATGTGAACACAAGTGTTTACCTTTTCCAGCCCATCTCCTTCAGAAAAGTAGTCCACCTTTAAGTAAGCCATTTTACAGAAAGGATGCCTATTGTTGAGAAGCACCTCAGGTTTGCATTCTCCAAACTAGGTGAGGCTAGGACAAAAGCTAAATTGATGACTTACTTAATAACACATTAAATAAAGTTATTACAATTATTCCCCAGATATTTAAGAAATTCCCCTCCTGTCACATTAAAAGTAAAAGTTGGTTTTAACCTTTGGAGGGATTCTGAGATTAGGATCTCAGACTTGGGGAGGGACACGGTTTAGATCCTTCCCTTCAGTTAGCAGGAAGAATACTTCCACACATACCTTTAAGGTTAAAATCCCAATTTTCAATGACATTTTGAGTGATCCTGGAAACACTGAGAAATCTGAGCTTTATATGAATCTGATATGAACTGACTAAACTGCACTTATTGGACTAATGTGCAGAGGATTGGGAAATCTCTTTTCATAGGAACCAAACATTCTGACACAGTTCATGGTTCCAAATATTTATAATTTTTTTTCAAATGTTTAGAAATACATATTTTGAGAAGAAAAATCTTCATGCTTTCTATAAAAATATTTATTGAAATATATATCCGTAATTGACATTATCATAGTTTTTTTAAAATATATATATACATATATATACTAGAGCACTATTTTAGGCACCTGTCTTCCTAGTTGAGATTTATTTAATGTGGCATGATCAAAAGAGCAACCACTGATGATTGCAATAATTCAGTCTATATCTATGAAATGCACTTCTTTCAGAAATAGTGTGATATGGCAATGGCTATGTTATGTATTGAGGTTAATTACTTGGAAACTGTTGGAAACGGTCAAACGGCTGCACCTGTTTAAGATCCAGACTGACTGTCTAGAATAGATCAGTGGTTCTCAATCTGTGGGTTGCGACCCCTTTGGGGGTCCAATGACCATTTCACAGGGGTCACCAAAGACCAGGGCTTTTTTTTGCATAGAATGCTCAGAACGGCATTCCGGCATGTTTTTTGATGGATTTTTTCAACTTTTCCATGAGCTGTGCTATTCCCTCTATTCTATTGGCTTTCGAACGCTTCACACAGCGGGGCTGCACGGGACAGGCGGTGGCCAAGGTGGTTCTGGCGGGACTGCGGCTGGCGCTATGTGGGGCGCGTGGGGCATGGCGGATGGCTGAACAGCCAGCCAGGTTCCATGTCATCCACGCCTACAGCATCGGGACCACAGTCCTGGTGAGCTGACAGCACAAGGCGGGCGCCCGAGAGTGCCCAAGGGAGGTAGGAAGACATGCAGGCCGGCAGGCAAGTGCCGGGCCGCAGTCCATGCCCTATGGGAGGAAAGGCTCTGCCGAAGAGTGGCGGCGGTGGCGCTGCTGCTGAGCAGAGAGTGGCCATAGGTGGGGGGGTGTCGGGGGACCCCACTGCACCCCTCCCTGGCTGACGAAGCCGGATGGCGGTCCCCTCTCGAGAGCCCGCCCAAGGCAAATGGTGTCCCAGGGCGCGAACAGTAACCAGCCTCTCTCGGGTGTCTCTAAGGGCAGCCCGAGGTGAGCAGCACCGCTGACCCTGGAGAGAGACCCCCTCGCTGAAGCCTCTGGGCTTTAAGAGTTCTGCCCAGATCCCTGAAGGGAGTGAGAGGAGGCTGGCCTGGCCGGTGCTTGACCTGCGTCGCTGCTGCCTCATCCTGAGCCTATGTGGCCGCCTGGGAGCACCTGACCCACGCCGCCTGCTGCCGCCTGGGCCTGCCTGCTGTCCACACCTTCCCGCCACCCCCCACTGGCGTCTGGCTTGGGCGGCGAATTCAAGCACTACACCATCAATGTGGTGTGAGGGTGGCACAATGGGAGCTGCGGGGCCCGCTTCACGCAGCGGGGCTGCATGGGACAGGTGGCGGTGGAGGTAGTTCTGGCGGGGTAGCAGCTGGTGCTGCGTGCGAAAGTGCCATGCGTGGGGCGCGGCGGATGGCTGAGCAGCCAGCCAGGCTCTGTGTCATCCATGCCTGCAGCAGCATTGGGGTCATGGTCCTGGTGAGCTGACGGCACAGGGCAGGTGCCCGGGAGTCCCCCAGGCATGCAGGCAAGTGCCTGGCCGCAGTCCGCGCCCTACGGGAGGAAAGGTTCTGCCAAATAGCGGTGGCAGCGGCGCTGCTGCTGAGCGGCCATAGCTGGGGGGGTATCAGGGGACCCTGCCTGCGCCCCTCCCGGGCTGACAAAGCCAGACGGGGTCCCCTCTCGGGAGCCCGCCCGAGGCAAACCGGGGCATGAACAATAACCAGCTAACAATAACAATAACCTCTTCGCTAAAGCCTCCGTGCTTTAAGGGCTCCGCTCAGACCCCTGAAGGGAGTGAAGGGAGGCTGAAGACCCCTGCGGGGCCAAACCAAGCTTCCCACAGGTGGCTGTGCGCTTCTATGCTCCAGGGATGTCCAAGGGGCTTTCGAGTCAGGCCCGGAGCAGACTTTGGCTTTCCTAAGTACAAGTTAAGATCAGGTTTCCTTGCAAGCAGAAGGGGAGGATATTCTATACAAGTTCACACATATTAGTAGGCCATAGTTTCCTGAGTATGCCCCAAACTGACTTATTTAGGACATATACTGTGTCATAAATATTGCTTTGCAATGACTACAAAATTGATCTGCTGCAGAAGCCACCAGCAAGAGTTCAACGGCCACTTAACAAGGAAGTTTCCTTCACTTGATGTATGGGCTGAGGAGGCTGACATAGACGCTCGGAGTGCAGGTTCCACACAGCAACGTGCCGGGCGTGCGGCAAGCACGCCTGGCACGTTGTAAAGGTCGCCAGAGGGACATTCCACAAGAAGAATTTGTAAAGGTCGCCAGAGGGACATTCTATTTGTAAAGGTCGCCAGAGGGACATTCCACAAGAAGAATTTCCCAGGAAAGGTACCGGGGCCCTGGGGCAACACAGAGTTGGTTTTTGTGCTAGCAGAAGGAGCATGTTTAGAACAGGTGCCCATCGCCCAATGAAAGAGAAGCTGAGACTCAAAGTCAAGCTTCGTGGAGTCTCATGCAATATGGAACTAGACACGGGGTCAGCCCTGTCTATAATTTCCCAAGGAACCTTTAACCACATTTGTAGTCGCAGCGCCAAACGAGTCAAACTCAAGCCATCGAATTTCCTGTTAACTGATTTCCAGAACTCCCGCATAGCGGTTAAAGGAGAAATGAAATCAAACTTTGTTTTTGTCTTGGCATAGGCAGATAGTATTTAGAATGGACCCCGTTACAGCAGTTATGACTAACCCACCCAGGAGAGTCACCGACAGTTAGAGAATAACTTTGAGCTAACTGGATAAAATGGTCTGATCTGGAATATAAGGCAGTTACTCTTTTTCTTCCTAAATAGGAAAGTAGATATACTTTTTCTGAAATGCTACAATGTTGTGTACACATTATTTAGAAATACAAAAGGCATAAACATTTTTACAATTATCTTTTGGGTTATCTACCGATTTATTTATAGTTAATTGATCAGACTACTAAGATTTTTTTTTTGAAAGAATCCATTGACCAAGTCCTTTCTAGTCTCAATCCCTTTCTTCTGTTTTACATAAACAAATACAGTCACACACAATTGTATTTAGAACTCTGATGCATAATACACAAGAGAACCTAAACGATTGTCCATTTGGGACAGGGGAAGAGGAGGAAAAAGAAACTCTTTATAAGACATAACATTGGTAAATTACTTCAGTGTGCCATCCATATTTAGTACACATTCTCCAAGACATAGTACATTAACTGACTCATTAGCTATTTCCAACCATATGGACTTCAGTTTAGATGGGTCACTTTCATAATATTCGGAGGTGAAGGTCCTTAATTATTGTAATTGCATGATCTCAATCATGAGGCCAGACATGTGAAATTGTGCCAGAGCCTTTCAAATGGGTGTCAGTGCACCCCAGACATTGACAGAAAAGCATGGCATACTCCTTGGACATTAAAGCCCTCTTGATACTAGAGGAGTAATTACCTGGAAAGTTTTAGAGAACTTGGTGGAAGCAAGTAAAAAACACACCAATCAATGAAAAAAACTGCCAACCAACCAGCATTCTATATGGACATGAAAAAAAAAACCTCTCGTGATTGCCATTTTGGAGGATTGTACTTCATGATTCCCTTGTTGCAATGCTGATGTTCTTTATACCAGGCAGTGATGTCCCTTGGTATAATTTTAGCAATGATATTTTAAGAGTTCTGGGCTGGGGGGGGGGAGATGAATAGTGAAAGTGCTAAAATGTCAGTGTTAAATACCACAAGGGTGTCATGCTAGGCAACAGTGTGAGAAGTTACACGTTGCTTGCAACTGCTGTTCCAAGTGTAGGTGTGAAACGGTAAGGTTTCAAGATAATTGTACCATTTGTTGTTATCCATAGTTCCAGTCTGAAGTGAGTAGCTAAAAAGCTACTATAAAAAATATGAAATGAGAAAGTAGATCTTAGCTTCAATAGGCTATGCTTTAATATTGAGTAATAAAACGTGTTAAATCAAAGCAACATCCATAATATTCTCTATTACTTACTATCACCTTTTGAGGCATTTTAAAAATAAGTTATATTCTGTCTAAACATCAGTATTAGTCAAAGTTCATACACCTGCCAATTACAAAACATCTGGTAAAAAGAAACCTCCCAGCAGCTGTAGTGGTCACCAATCCCTAAGGCAATTACAGGCAGCTTTACCTTGAAGCTCCCTTCTAATCTTCTCTTCAGTCTCTGCTTTAGGGAAGGACAGAGCTGCTGTTGCTTACTGAGCCTCACAGTTCAGAGGTGACTGGAAATGAACAGAAATTTCTATATTCCCCATAGCAAGTTGATATTAGAAGGTTGTTGTGCGACCAATATGCAATGGTAGCTTTTTCTTCGTGACATATACCATTTTTCTTTCTATAGATTCTGGATTGCCTTTGGACAAAATGAACATGTACTAAGTCTCTCATGGTTTTTTATTGTTAAAGTTAGCCACTCTGAAAAATATCCTTTTGTAAACATGAAATCGAAATGTACAAATGACAACTATTTAAATAAATACATTTATTTCTAAATTGAGAGCATTTACCCCCAATCTGTAATGCCAAATGCTATGGGAACCAATCCATTATGTTAAGAATCATATGGTTTATAATGTAAACAAAATGTGGTTTGTTAATACAGGTATATAGTGCAATATAATGAATAAACACAAAGAACAGAACTGAAGAAGCTTCTTGGATGAGAAGAGAAATATTTTCCAGGAAAAAAAAACCCAAGAAAGTCCAGTTGCCTTTTGAACAGCATCTTTGGGCAAAAAATAATTATTACATTTTAATCCCATTCTTTCTTCAAGAATGGTGACTAGTTCAATCCTAGTCTGACATACTAAGCCTCCCTTTCAACCTGGCATAACTCAGATGTGTTGGGGCTCCAATTTCTATATTTGCCTGCTGGAATTTTGGAAATTATAGTTACAGAACAGGGCATTTTTTTTTTTAAAAAAGAAACTTTTAGCTTTGCAGAAGTTTTTGTTTTGTTTTTATCTTTTTACACACATGAAAGAATCCCAGGTACCTTTATAAAATAGCAGATAGACACTCAGAACTGAAATTAGCCCACCGTGATTTGTTTTTGTTCTTGAAGCTTCAGGCAGCATATATAGCACTCCTATTTCCAATTTTATCTTCACAGGAACAGCATTATGAGATAGGTTGGACTAAGAGGCAGTGACTGAAGTTATCCATTGATTTCTATTTTTGAGAAGAGGAACTTGGACCTCCAGCATCTTAACTATGGGCCAGAGGGGAGAAAAAAAAACACATTCAGAGACAACAGGTTTTTTACCCATAGTTTACCTATAACCTTGACAACTAGAAACACCGTTATATATTATATTAGACTTTTTAAAGAAATACAGGGGAAAGAAAAATATTTTATCCTGGGTAATATCTTTTTAGGAAATCAAAATATCTGAAAAAATACTGAGGTCTTTTTTTTTTTCTCTCCTCTGCAGGGAGATAATGTAGCTCAGTGTAAGCAGTTGCAGCTCTGCCATCCATTCTGCAAAGCCTTTTGAGATCTGCAGCTGACATTAATGATGACCCAAAAGCCACCATATTTCACTGATGACTACAGATTGTCATAAAGGCATAAGCTGTGCTGGAGTTCAGAGCAATTCTTCACAGCAAAAAAAAAAAAAAAAAAAGGCTCTTTAGAAAAGTGAAAGTCTACAATACAAAAATGGCCATGTTGCATGTTGGAAACATACTGGGTACTGCGAGTAGCAAAAATACAGATTTCCCTCTTTTTCAAGTAAATAATGGTGAAAGTGATCTTACACAAATAAATTATAAAAACAAATTATCTCATACATCATTTAGAAAGAATTCATTTGACATGATATGAGGATGGCCTCAAGTTAAAACAGCTTTAGGATTAGACAAGTTCAAGAGATGAACCTAAACTGTTAGATACATTGGCTGCACAGAAAGCCAAGTTCAGAGGCTTTACACCTCTGCCTACTTGCTGTTAGGAGGAACAAGGCAGATGACAACAGACTTCCTTATGTTCTTAAAATAAGTGACACTAAATTACAGAATTCTATCTATGCCTGCTTCAAAGCCAATTGCACTAAATTTGGTGGATTGCAGCAAACTCCAAAGAAATATGACATATTCAGATTTTTTTTAAAAGAAAGTGTAGTGAGTATTAAGCTTGGGAGCACACAACACATATTAATTTAAGTGGCTGTATAGATTGTGGATTATATTAAGTGTTTATTCTTAAAATAATTGGACTAAAATTAAGACTGAAAATTAGGATATTGGTGGGATATTCTGACCATCATACAATAGTCAATGATTTCCTCTATTTTCTTCCAAATAACTCTATGTAATACATGGGAAAGTATCATTTAGCCTCTCAAATTCAGCTCCCAACTAGTGAAAAATCGAAATGAAAGCAACCTTGGAAGTTGGTTTCTAGCTTCTGTTTGAACAAATCCAGTGAAATTCAGTGTAATATTCAGTATAATAATTATAATCAATAATTATTCCCACTGTTGACTTGTTCTTTCTCTTGGTTCTTACTTAATTTTTAAACCTGTATCTTCTCTCCTGTAGCTGTAGCTGTAGTCTTGGAATAAAACTAACAGATCATGGCATGCTCCTTAGTAATATTTCTCTAGGTTTTTGATTTCCCTTTTCACGATTAAATGTATTCTCAGTTCCTTCAGTCTCAATTTGTAGAACTTAGTTGCTACCCCCAACTATAATTTCTTGTAACTTCTTCACATTTTATATTACTTTGAAATGCAATGTCCAGAAATGGGCACAGAATTTGAAAAGGGCATAAAAATAACAGAACCCAGTTTCACATAAATAAATGATACATAACACTTCCATTGATGCAGCTTGTCATAGATTATTTTGAAAACTGTATCCAATTAGACTGACCCAAGAGAGGCACTTTTGTCTAGTGGTGAAGGCCTAAGTCTAGCAATCAAGAGACTATGAGTTTTGGTCTCACCGTAGGCATGAAAGTTGGCTGGATGATTTCAGGCCACTCTCTCTTTCTCTCTCAGCCCATGAACTCAGGCAACAAGCTAGTCCACCAATTCCTGTTGTAACAATGAATTAACACTCAGTTGGTTAAAAAAAAAAAACGGGGGGGAGGCTGCGTTTGCGTGCAAATGCTAGGAAGAAAAAAATATTAGACTGACCCAAAATCAAGAGAGACAGAAAAGCACTTGTGGCTTTATATCTCCTTGTAAAGGTTGGAAAGACTTTTATTTTGTAAAAATAAACATATAAAAGTGTTATGTGAGTCCTTCTATTGCTACCTCTATACTAGTACTATACTATGATAATTACTATTACAATATACTAATCCTTATGACAATGTTTATACTACTCTCTACTATTAATGTTCAATTAATATTATATATTATTCTATTATCTATATGATCACCTATTTATTTATTTAGAAAAATTATATTGCCGCCTGCTCACACATGGCGACTCAAGGCGGCTTACACAGATATAAAAACACTATAAAAGAATAAAAACAAGAAAAATAATAAAATAATCCCCCACCCCTCCACCCCGTCAACAACATACATTCAAATTAACCATTTAATGGGCTCTAGCCCGGTCTGGATTCCCCAGGCCTGCTGGCAGAACCAGGTCTTCAGTGCCTTCCGGAAGAGTGCTAGAGTAGGGGCCAGTCTCATCTCTGGGGGAATAATGTTCCAGAGGGAGCCACCACGGAGAAGGCCCTTCTTCTGGGTCCTGCCAGATGTATCTCCTGAGGGGACAGGACCCGCAACATTCCTTACTTCCTCGCTCTAGTGGGTCGAGTGGATGTGATCGGCAAGAGTTAGTCCCTCAGATAACCTGGTCCCAAGTCATGAAGGGCTATAAGGGTGACAACCAGCACCTTGAATTGCACTCGGAAGCAAATCAGCAACCACGGCTGACATATTGCACACTAAGGTCTGCACAAAACCTATGTGGGCTGCTGCATTTTCCACCAACTGGAGTTTCGCATGCTCTTCAGGGGCAGTTCCATGTAGAGCACATTGCAATAGTCAAGATGGGAGATGACTAAGGCATGAGTGACTGTGAATAGGTATACTATGCCCTATACTATTACTAGTATGCATCAACATTTTTTTTCTTAAGTCTGTCTGCCATAAGTCCCCTTCTCTGAGATTTTTTTTTCTTTTTCTATTATCAGCCAGTATATAGAGCTTTTCCACCTTTTTTTACATTGTGCTTTGTCTTGCTGTGTTGCTATACTTTTCCTCTCTTTTGGACTGTCCAATCCTGTTGAAGGAAAAAACTCTTTCCTTTGGCTTTCCTTTCTTTTTTGCTGGTCGCTGTGTAGCTATGAAACACATGTCTCCTTCCACAGCTGTGTCAAAGTTGCAGCTTAATTAGCAACTCTGTTGTGCTGATGCTGGGAAGAAGGCTAAAATGGGAGGAAAAGAAAGCAGTAGTTAAGTTACTGAAATTTAGTTAAGCAGCCTACTCTTCCAACAGTCTAAAACTGCATTTGGTTTTATTGTCAAATTTACATGTAACTCTACAACAGCTTGTTTCACTTAAGTTTAAACAAAACAATTTTATCTTATTTCCAATGAAATATATAATTTTCCTGGGTTCTTTTGCTTTATCTGTGAGTAAATATACGGGATATCTATCCTACTTGGATCTGGCTTCTACAAAGTTGTGAGAGATTTACAACTCCTGCTATTCACTTCCTGAAAATTGGTCTCAGCACTGGATTTTTTTTTTAAAAAAAAAACTTGCAAGAGTTGATTGTAATCATATGTGTGGGGGTAGATGGGGGTAATGTTTTCTGCTGGTACTACTCTGATGAGAGTTGGACACCCCCTCCCCAGCCCAACTAAGAAATAATCTAGGAACACCCCAACTAAACTGGGTCAACAGCAGCCTGAGGCTAAAACAGCAAACACTTGACACACACAATGAGGAACCAGCTAGCAGCAATCAGGACACAACAATAAAAGTAATTAACACCTTTTAGGCAAGAAAAAGGAACTAACAATAGTCACAAACCAGCAAATCAAGAAAGACAAATTTTAACTCACCAATTAGAAATGGTAAGTTTGTTACCAATCAGAAATGACAAGTTTGGAAACCACAAAAGGGTATAAAAACCCCTGTTTAAAGATCACTCTGTCTAGCTAGCCGGGGACTCGACGCTGATCCTCAAAATAAAACCTCTTTCTGGTAGCTGGCTTCACGATCTATTTCTTCTGCACTGCGCCGTCAAGGAGAATCCCGGCTGGAAGAACAGAACGGGGGAGTTCCTCCCAACAACTCCATATATGTTCCTGAACTGGAACATTCTATATATGGACTTTGGAGGAAAGAAAAAGTAAGCAGATCATTACATATTTATCTTTCATAATTGACTATAATAGTTTCATTTGCCATTTAAAAATACTTAGCAATTTACAGCATAACCACAGATAAACAAATCCAGAGAGTAAGGTCAAAGTTATTTCCACTGCCAGCTTATTCAATAATGATTGAGCCACAACAGAGAAGGTTTGTTTTCTGGGAAGGTGCCCATCACTTCATAAGGGATGGACTCTAGTCACTCAAGACTCATTTAGGCTCCTCTCTTTGCTGCCATTTAATGGTCTACACTTCCTGGCTGCAAAAGTTAAAGATAACTACAAAATGTTACCAAGATCACCAATGAATGATATTTTACATCACATACAAATAATTCTGCCTTTTTAATCCTCACAACTTTGTGATGTCAATCTGGCTGAGGGGTAGCCATCTCTCTTTTTCTACAAAACCTCTGTAAAGCAGGATATACACAGGCTGGCAGCAACTGGCTCAATTTCACATGCTGCAGGGATAAAACCCTAGAAGAAAGCTAGAATAAATATGTAGTAATCACATATTAAAATATTTTCAGGATCGGCAAGGAGCAGTAAAACTCTGAGAAGTACTATCTTAATTATTCCAAAGATGCTTTTTTTCATGAGGCAACTGAGAGCATTCAAGTGTAATAAATAATTATTTAAAAAGTAACACCCGCCGGTTTGGTTGGCAATTCCTTTTCTTTTCCGCACATCTCAGCATTTCGCTGGACCGTCACCGCCTTTTCTTCAAGGCCCTCATCTTCCCCACCCGCTTTAGTGAAAGAAGGCGGGTCTTGTCCCACCTTTTCCGACTGGCTTGGTCTTGGGCTAGAGGACACCCGCAACTAATCGCCCAATGACCGGTGTCTTGTTTTCTCGCCGCCGTTACTTTATTCACGGACAAGTAACTTTTGGGTGCCGCGTCACGTGACGGAGGGCCGAGCGGCGCTGGGCTGGGACGCTCACTTCTGATAGGCCGCCAGCCGCGAAGGATTGCTTTGGGGTTGCCTAGCGTCAGAGGTACCACGTGGAGAAGAGGAAAAAGGGAAACTGCGCGGAGCGGGAAAGGCGGGGGCGTGAATTTAGTTGTACAGAAGGTAGGTGGCGATGCGGCTGTTCCCCAAGGGAATGGGAGGGGCCAAGAAGGCAAATGGATCTCTTTGTACCCTTGTGGGGACCGGGAAAGACTGTTCTTCGCCTTAGAAGTGTGCGCATGTGTGTGTGATGCCTTCTTCAACTTCTGTTTTCGAAGCGAAGAGCTTCGGCCCTTTCCGCTTATTCTCCCCTTGTCTTGACTTTTTTTCAGTTTGGGGCAAGAGAGTGATAATGCTACTAACGTGAGAATCAAGGAAAAAGGGCAACTGGCGGCTGTCCTAGGAGGTAACTCCATGGCCAGCTCTGTTCTATTTGTGGTTTCTTGGTCACTACCTCAGTTATCTCTTGCTTACTCACTATTTTCAGGCTTAGTGGAAGTAAGCCGTCCGGACTTGCTGAGAGTGAGTTGGGAGGCCAGAGAATTTTTTCTAATTTTTTAAATGTTTTTAACCTGTCCCTCCCCGAATATTCCTCCGCCCTGTTTACAAGTCTATAACCCGAGGAGTGATTCCAAAGTTCTTGGTACTTTGTTAATATGTGTAGGTGCTATTATAGTACCTGGGAAGCTGGGGAATGAATTCTCTTTAAGGCTGCTGGGAATAGCGTGTCACACATGTAGCCTCCACAAAGATACGGTAGGTCGTGAAAGTGGCTTCCACCGAGTTGCCGCATATGTCAGTCCTACTTTTGTTGGAGTTGTTACGAAGGGCACAATGCCTCCCACCTCTTTTTGGATACTCTGTAGGAATACATGTAGTCTATCCCCTCATATGGAGGGCAGAGTTGTAAAGAAAGTGTGACTTACATGTTAATTCCAGGGAATCCTTCAAGCTCAAGCCATCTCTTCTTGCACAGTTGGCATATTTCACCCCCGGGCCGTTTCTTGGTCGATGGGAATGTAGTTGAATATTGAGATATTATTGAATATTGAGAGCTATATGAATGCATACATTTGTACATCTTCTTTTATTTATATTTTATCTCTGGAGGCAAAGCACATTTCTTTTTAAATAAGAAGAAGTAATACAATACAAGTAATCTATAACAATACATTGTTTTTAATTTCAAACTTATCTACAGTATAAATCTTTATTCAAGTACACTGAATATAAAGTACTCAAGATTCTTACTTCTGTAATTGCTAGTCCAAGTCACCTGAAACAATAACCAAATTGGCTTGAGACTACAGAAGGTGTAGTCTATGATTCCTGGGAAACACTATTTTGCAGCATATACACAATCTTTTTTTTGCTTTTAAATATTGTCTTGCCTTAATTTGAATGAAAGCAGATACAGAGTTGTTTTGCTTTCTAGAATTTGAGTTTGAATTTTTGAATTTTTGTGCACTTGGTCTTGTGACTTTATTTTCAATTGCTTTCACACAGAAATTAAGCAAGTGAGTTCTTCTCTACCTATTTCCATGGCAGGAAAAATGTCTTCCCCCACTTTTTTTTTAAAAAAATAGATATTATGATATAACTAATGAAAAGAGTAAAACATTCAGCTTCCCCCCCCCCCGATAAGAAAAAAGATTGAAAATTTGGGTTTGGGATTTTGACACCAGTCTTGGAATTGGAACCTCCCCTGTTACTGTGATGTGGGATTAATGAAAGTAGTAGGAGAGTGTATCTCCTCATCTTTTGTTAACGGATCCCTTTTCTTCTCAAATCTTAATAGGGGAAAGAATCCAAGCAGAGAACATACAAAGGTATTAAAGATGCTTTTTGCTGTGAATTTAAGTCTTGACAATGTGCTGCTTTTGGCCGCATAGTCAACATGGGTTTAGAGCACTGAAGCCAAACATGCATTGTATCACTCATGGTTTTTTATCTGAAATGCCTTAGTTACAGCTAAAATATAAGCAAGCAATTGTGTACGTAGAGAAAAACAGCTGAAAAATATCTCAAATTGATAATATTGCCCAAAATATCATGGACAATATTGCATGATGCTCAGTTTCAATCGTCTTAAGGGGTTTTCAGATTTTAGTCTCAAGAAGAAAAAAATGTGCCTATTATTCACACGTGAAAAACAAAGTTAGCCAAATGTGCACTGAAGAGAGAGGCAGATACATTCTGATTGAATGTATCTAACAAGTGAAGATCCATCCAAATATTAGTTCCAGAATCAAGCCAATCACTTGCTGTTTACAAGGGAAGAGTCATTACTAAAGACATCTGGGAAGATTCACTCTGAACAGCTGAAACTGACAAGGCAAATTATCACTATTATATATTTATTATAACATTCCATCTCACAACTCAAGGTATTATGGCCAAAGCTGCCCTTTACAACTATATTCAGGAAGGATTTCTTATATCATCAGCTGAATCACTTTATGATGTAACAAAGAGGGTAAGCTTGCTGATATCTGTATTACCAGAATATGACATTATAAGGTGGTTTTGTTTTATTTATTTATTTTTTAAAACTAAGAAGGCTATGGAGAAAAAAAGTGCTGTTTTTTCTAAGAGTTGTCTTTTATTCATTCTGTTCAGGCATAATGCCTCCCAAAAAGCATAAAAAGAACAACCTCCCAGATCCTCTTCAAGAAGGAATAATATTGATGGATACCCACAAACAGAACTGGCGATTGGGTTCTATGATTGCTTATGGAGGATTTGGCTTAGTCTACCTAGGTAAGATAAGTGTTATGAAATAGTTTGTGTGAGAGAGCTTACAACTTGGAATCATCCCTCCATAACTAGGAAATGAATATATTCCTTTGCCTTTTCCTCCCTCCCCCCCCCCTTTTTGTGGCTTCCTAGAAGTCCACTGTGACCAGTGATGGGATTTAAATATGTGAATAACTGGTTGTCTATGTGGATGCCGCTTCCGGAAGTCCATTCTGGGCCTGGGCAACAAAAAATTAGCTACTGAACCAGTGTGAACTGGTTGAATCCCACCACTGACTGTGACATATTGCAGGGCTTTTTAACTGGTGGTACGTGTACCACTTGTGGTACATTAACGAGTGGCAGGTGGTACACAGCCCTGCTAGCCAAGTGTAGTGGGGGAGGGAAAGAGCCAGCGCAGGCAAGGACTTACTGTGAGAGAGTCCTCTGGAGCTGCAGAGTGGCTGAGGCTGAGCCTCACCCCAGGCTCACTTCTGGCTCACCCTCCCCCATGAGAAAGGAGGATGAAGGGGGCAGAGACAGGAGAAGCTATAAAAGGAGGCAGAGGGGAAAAAAAGAAGCAGCCTCAGGAGGATGTGGAATCAGCTCTAGCTGCACCAAAGGGGAAGGAGGAGGGTGGGGGGGAGAGGAGAGGAGATCAAGGAGTCCAAGCAGGCCGGCCATGAGCCGATCTACAACTTCTGTGGCAGCCACCTGTGCTGGCAGCAACACACAGGCAAGAAATGCAGCAGGGGAAGGGTTGCCCTCCAGGAGGAATGAAGAAAGGTAGCATCAGCTGGAGGCAAGACACGGAGGGAGGGAGGGAGATGGGGAGTGGAAGGATTCTTATGTGCTTTTGTGACTTTGAAGTTCTGGGATTTGTGCAATGTGGGCTTTGTGTTCTTAAGGAGTGTTTGGCAATTTCTATTTGGCTGATGTCTCCTGTTAGCTTCTATTGTTCTGCTATTGTTAGCTGTAAGTTTTGCTGCAAGGGATTTTGAAATATTTTTCTCCTGAATGGATTTTGCCTGTAGCATTCCTTTACTTATGAATGGAGCCATTTGGGGAGGCTGCCTTAGCCGGCAGCCAATACTACATTTTTTTTCTTCCTTAAGTGCCGGCTGCACTCATTAACTTTCCTCTCTAGCCAGTAGCTAATTCTTAAAGGGGAATGTGCCTTTTAAAGCTAGTTCCCTCAGCAGCTTCACTTTTCTGTCTCTGGAGGCTTTTCCTTGTTTGATGAATATATGGAAAATATGGGGGGGGGTTCAAATTCTTCCTTCAGAAGGAGGTGGGCATGAGAAAGAAGGAGGCAGGGAAGGAAGGAAGTCCCGCCTTAGCACTTGGCCACTAGCAGCCTTGCAATTGACTTTGCTTGTCAGAAGGTTGCAAAAAGGGATCGTATGACCCTGGAACACTGTAATCATCATAAATGTGAATCAGTTGCCAAGCATCCAAATATAAATCACATGACCCTGGGCATGCTGCAATGGTCATAAATGTGAAAAATGGTCATAAGTCATTTCAGTGCAATTGCAACTTTGAACAGGTTTTTTGTTTTTTTTGGTCATCAAGTTTTTGACACCTTGCTAGGTGGTGCTCGAATATTGCCATAGCCTAAAAGTGGTAAGTGAAAAGGTTGAAAAGCCCTGACATATTGGACATTTGAGATGTTAATATTGAGCTTTATATTTTGTCTGCAAAAGAGATTTAATATTTTATACCCCACTTTATAAAAGGAGGAAAAACTATACTTCCCTGAATAATAATTACGATTTAAAGGGTCTGCTTCTAAAATCTTTGCACCTGAATCATGAAATTAGACATTTTCCCAGTTTTAAGGGTCTACTTTTGTTTTTAACCTCAAATAGCTGAAACTTTTCTTTTTTTTTAAGTTACAGTACTTCATCATATCCTTGATAAAAGATCTTTGAATCTTTGATTTGCATATGAAATTGAGTCAGGTGGTTTTTCTGATTCAGTGTCAGTCAAATTATGTTATTTTTTAGATTGCTGTTCCAACCCAAATATTGAATAAATAAAAACACATAATTTCTGAATATTTCAAAATTTTAATACAGAATGAAAATTAGCAAGAACTAGTATTTGGAATAAAAAAGAAAAAAATAGAAAAGAAAACAAAGACAATGCAGAAATCAAAGAAACTTCTAATTTTTTTACAACAGTTATAACTATAGATATAAAATCTCTAACTTTATTAT